GTATAAGTGGATAACAATTTAATTAGTTGTTCACCCTCTGGGGCTGTAAGTTCTTGTATAATTAGATAATGAGCAATTATCATGATAGTGTTTTGTTCTCAGATGGTACTACATGGGTTCCAGCACTGACGACATTTCAAAGCCTTGTGTTCCAGGTTATCACCCAGTAGCACCACAGGAAGCACTAGCACTCTCTTTACAAGAAAAATTTATTAGAGGGGACCATCTACCAGCATTACAGGTGCTAATATGAATCCCACCTGCTCTTACTGGACTTGCCTCATGGTAGTTTGAAGTAGTGTTGACACTCACTACAATGGGAAAACCCTAAAATATTCCAAAGATATTTTGTGGTTGGGCACTTCCCAAAACACTGCCTTTCGTGTCCTTAATGCCACCCTTGCCTTTCCTGCTTTGGCAGGGAAAGCCAACAGCAGGGTTACACAGAGTGGTTTAGAACAGAAAGTTATCAAACAACACAAAGGTTTAGATTTGGAATAGCCCCCAGAAGGGCTGCTGTGCTAAGAAAAGCGCCTGATGCAAGTCAGGACTTACAAGATGTACTTACGTTGAGGTCAGCAACTGGCAATTAATTAATTCATTAAAATACCTGGAGAGATTTAAAATGGGCACATGGCGAGAACATGAGTGTAAGAGGAGGACCTTGAAACCACTTCAGCTTTAGGGCAAACAAAAAACAGATGGGAGATGGGTGCAGTGATGAAAAGGTGTAGGCAAGGGGCCCATATCTGTCATTATTCCTGCAGCTACAATTTAATTACCATTCCTAGGCTTTAGGGAACAGAGATTTTTTTTTTTTTTTTAAAAAGGGAAGGAAAACAAGTTCTGCGGTTGGAAGATGCCCCTTAGCACCACCCCAACTCTCTGCTAAGACACTTAATATGCTTTAGTCATCACCTAGAATAGAAACTGGTTCCCTAATTTTCAGTGTTAAGGAATTGCTTTCAAAAGGGGCGGGAGGGGGAATGAGAAGCAAAATCCCGTGCTTCCTCTCCTTCCTGAACTCCTTGTTTCAGCAGCACCAGAGCAGAGCTCAGCATGAGGCACAAGGAAGGCAAGAAGCCCTTCTTCAGCTGTTTGGGTGATGAGCAGATGTGCACTGCAATCTTGTTTCATTCACTGTAAGCTGGGACATCAAGCTGCACCAGCAGCTCACAGAAAGGTAAACCATTTACCTGGAGGATGTTACTTAATGCTGCTCTTAATCTTACAACGCAGTGAAGGTAAGAGGCAAACTTAGCAACCTGCTCTGAATGGAAGATTTTTCTTTTTTTCTTGAGGCCTATAATGGCAGTCACAGTGACTTGGTACCACCAGGACAACAAACCAAACCTTGAGAGAGGAACAAGTGTTACATGGCAGGGCTCAATAAAAGGAAATTCTAGGTTAGATTTTAATGGCTGCTGAGAAGGCCCAAAAGAATTTTTTCTCTAACACCATTCTCCTGACTGCTAGAACACAGGAAGATATATCTTTGGATTTAAAACAGAAGAAAACACAAAAAAACCCAACCAAACTCCAAACACAAAACCAACAAACAACAACAAAAGCCCCTCTGATTTTTCAGTATTGAGGCAGCTAATGACGCTTGTTTGTGAAAAATAGATGATGCGCCTGCAGGGAGGAATCCGCTATTGAAAAAGCTGACTAGCAAATGTGTTTAGTCCTTTCCACACAAAAGCCATGTCAGGCAAAGCAAGCCAAAGGGGAAGAGTGGGAAACATGAAATTATCATTGAGTAGAGGTAAAGTCTGATATTTTTTTTTCCCAAGAATGCACAGTGATAGAATAAAGACTTGGGGTTTGGGTATTTTGCTATTAAAATCCTGTCTAGCAGTACCTAAGGTGGCATGTGCTTGACCTAGCCATCGAGACAGATGCACCCAGTCAAGCTGCACATACAGGTTCACTCTAAGAAAACCAAAGCCATTATCCTACTGGGGACATGATGTCTGGGCAACACACACCCAGAGCAGCACATACAATAAGCTGGCGTGAAGAAGCTGGTTGAGCTCCTTTCAAAAGCCAGATAAATGCATCATGATCAATGGGCCAGCCACTAATCCACACAGCAAGTTGACAATTACAAAGTCTCAGGTGCAAGAGCTGCTTCAAATCAGTGCATCTTTCTAAATGCTCCATGTTAACCCCTCATACACTTCTTCCCTTAGTTACAATGAGGGATGCAGGTGAAGTAGCACAAGGCCACAGTGCCAAGATTTTTCCTAAACAGAGCATCATTATGTGGCTTCCGAGTTCAGCCAGGGATGCTGAAGTCAGTGCAGTGTGAGGGTTCTTCCTGTTTTGCAGTACCAAGCATAGCGTTTGAACTAGAAAAGATTCCTGTCTGAGGATACGGATTTTCTTTTCTTTTTAAAGAAACTAGGATGGAGGAAGCGGAGTCTTGGCTAGAGAATGGAGCAGGAGTGCTTTTCTCACTCTGCAACAGCAATCAGTAGGGAATGTGTTATTTTGTCATGTCAGATTTCCTCAGCATAAGCAGTTCATGATAGTTTTGTGATGGAAGTTGAGTTAGAGAAAAACTGACAGAACTGTAATTTCCCAGAGGAAACAAAACAAACATGATCTACTTTGAAAAAAATCTGATTTTATTTTTGTATTGAAGAGACCTGTCAATTTAAATAGATGTTTATTTCCATTCATGGTCTCAACCAGTGCTGTGTGTTGACATTATTCAGAACGGTATAAAAAGCCATTTGTGTTACATCGGTTAACATCCTAGAACACTGTGGGGGGGGGAGGGCGGGTTTGAAGCAGCTTAACATTAAAAATAGGATGGTCCAAAAAAAAACTTACAACTGATGCAGCATCTTCTATTCTGATTTTATAGGAGCATATTGCAAATACAACTCAAGTTATCTGGTCTTCAAAAAAAACTTTAAAACCAGATTGCTTTCATAGCAATATTGAAACTGTCAGCTGAGAGAACGCACACAAACACTCTCGTGTGTGCAAACACACACACGGAGAACCTCACTGAGCACAACTGGAACACCCCAATCAGTATCCGGATGATGTATGCGCTCTTCTGAATCCATGATAGCTGTAGTTTAAAATACTAGTTGCCTCTTTTTAAAAATATATACACAGTTTCCACGGAAACACAAGATTCTGCACAATCAACTGACATCTATTACTCATGATGCTGTGAAGTTCTCTAGTGAAAGGGCCAAATCCCAAAACCTATACTCAAACATGCACATACCTAAGCAAATGAAGCCAATGAAGAGCGGAGAAGATGGTTTAGAAAAGAGGTTGCAGGGTCAAGGTCTAGATTTGAAAAATCACATGACAGATTGTCATTTAAAAAAAAGGTTTTAAGTCATTCTTTGGTTTATTTCCATGATTCTCAACACTGCCCAAAAAGCCCAAAGACAGTTACATGAGAAACCACAGCTCTAAAGCAAGCCCACAGCATTTTAAAATCGTGTGTATTAAATGTTCAGGAGAGTACAGGAATTCAGAGTACCTCTTACATTCATGTCCCCAAAAATCTAGTAACTGCTTAAGTGCATGCACTGAGGCACGACCGGCATGCCTGTAAATTCATATTGTTCAAGTTAAGAGTAAATATAGCTGCAAAAAACCCCACCCATAATTAAATGGTCATTACTAGCAACACTATAGTGACTGTCTTATTATTAAAGAAATGCAGACATGTTCTGCCTGTTTGGCTCGCTCAGCCAAAAGGAAGCTGTCTGCTTGATTTAGAAAGAAAGAAAATTTTAAGAATCCAAGGGAGTTTAATATTTCCATGTTCCTGGTGTCAATTATTAATGTAAGGATGTAGACAAATGGCAAGGATATAAAAGCATATCTCATACATTCCAAGGTTTGGAAGTCAAAAGCAGATCTTAGCTTCCTTATGCTTAAATGTTATGGTAGGCTTGGAAAAACAGTAAGAAGTGATATAATATTTCCATGAAAAGCAAAGTAGAACTACATCTAACTGGTAATTGTATGCAAGAAGTTTTTGCTATTCTTTATGTAAGGCAGATTTTATTGCAAAGGTAGAAAGTCTGCTAGAAGGGAGAAAATACAGGCAACTCTACTCAGAGAAGATGGCTGATAATTACTAGTGACAACTTCTATTTTTCAGAACAACTCAGCTTTAATGTACTTTCTGGAAACAGCATTTTCATCACGGGTTTTCATTTCCTTCCCCATCCCATGTTAAGTATAAAAAATCAAGACCAGACAAAATGAATTGTGGATATTTACCAACATCATCTCATATTCCAATGTTATTTTTAACTGGAGCAAATATAGGTCATTCTTTATAACCTACTGCCAGTGGTTGTTTATAAATATCTGCTTGCTGCAATAAACAGTGGTCATTGAAATATTCATTTGCAGTAACTACTTGGCACTAGGTTAATATACTTGTAAAGTTTAGTGGAAGTGCTTCTGATGTACATAAAAGCACTTCAAACATCAGACTTCTAAAACTTCGTTTTGGGGGTTTTAATATTTATAGTTACTTTTCACAAGCATTTCTGAAAGTATTAAATATCTTCAGAAGTTCAGAGGCTCTGGTCTCAGCACATCTAAGTTTCTCAACAATTACAGAATAGCTAATTTAACATTCTTGCTCCCTGTGCTGAGACAACACAGTATCAAAATTTAGCTATAAAAAGAGGCATTTTTGGTCAGACTGACCCCTAGTTGTCCCTTAACAGAGAAGCAACGCAGCTCAAACCTGTCTCCTCCTTCCAGAAAAAGACACCTAAGGCCACAAATTTACATTTGCCAGAATATCAGGTGTTTCTCTGTTTGTTGCAACTGTGGACATGCCCACTTAGAGAAATACAGTATGAAAGCCCCACCACCACCTTTAAGGTTAAACCACCTCAGAAGCCAGTTCAGGCAGCAGTGCATATGGAACCACATTACATCAAAACAGTGTGTTAAAGCCATTCCAGCTAGCTAAACTAGTTTCTAACAATGTTTAATCAAAAACGCAAAAAGATGCAAGGATAACCACCACTATGATCCAATAGCAAAAAACTCCTGTTTAAAGGTTTCTTATGCTAAAAAAGGCACACAACCCCTTGTGAACTAGAGACAAAAGCTAGCAGTACTACAGCAATAAACCCAGAAGAAAAAGCCTACCAGAATTACCCAATTGCCTATTGGGAAGGAACAATGAAGTAGACAGGCTGCTCTTGCTCTGTTTTCTTTGCAGGGAAGTGGTCAAATTTAATAGTCAAATTTAGCCACATTAAGAAACATTTAACAAAAGCTACCCCAAGAAACCAGAACAAAACCTGACCTTTGGGTCAAAAGGCCGCAGACAGGCCTTTCCATAGCATGTAGCTGAGTGAGTTCAGAGATTGGCAATGAAAGAAAAAAAGCTTTAGACATGTGATGGGAACAAGCTTTGGGATCTATCGAACAGTCACACCAAGCTTCTCCAGCACACGCACTCCCTTTTCTTGGTATTCTTGTCGGGTCATCCAGAAGTTGTCTTTGTCTTTCATGATGTCTGCTAGAACTGCGCCACCCAAAAACACCATGTGCTTTCGACGAGGCGGATCTTCAATTCGGATCTTAAATTTCTAAAGAAAAAAAGAAAAAAACTGTTACTAGGATTCTTGAAACAAAATAAAATTGTGCTTTCCACCAGAACAATAAAATTGAAACTGTTTAGTGAGGAAAAATGCAACCAAAAAACTGAAATGCTAGCACAGGGCACCATGTGTGAACTTCCAGCTTGCACAACCAAAGTAAATAACTGCTTTGCACTGGAAATTAGAGGCAGCCATTGACACTTTCCCCAAAATTGTACTTTCAGTGTATCCCCAAAAAGTCCAGGAGTCAGAATACAAAAATTAAAGACCGTATTTTTGCATTTCATAAACATGGTAGAGTGAAATGTTTCCAAAGCTTCAATGGCTAAAACTATCAGAAGTTACCAGATCATAAAATCACAAAATATTTTTAAAATTATACCAAGTTTTAGAAGGGCAGACAGAACAGATTTTAAATTTACAGATCTAGACTAGCTTAACTAATTAATTCTCTGATGCTAAAGCTCTGACTTCAAGAGCAAAATAGAGTACAGTCAAAGCTATGTGTGAAATAGAGTTTTAGACTTAAAACATTCTGTATAATTGAGTCATTCCATATAGCTGCAGAAGGTCTTTGGAGAACACTGTATTAAGAACTGGGTAAGTTCAATCCAGTTCAACATTAGAGACTCCACTCAAAGGAATTTTCTCTGTAAATATCTCCTTGAAGAGCAGACAGCATTACAATGCACTGTTACCTCTGTATCGTGTGTGGGGCTGTTGTCTGCTTATTACAGTAACCAGTGAACAAGGGAAATTTATTCCACTTGAAGGCGTGTGAGAACCCTAGCCTCTTACTTTTGAGTATTTCATTTATAGCATGAACCAAAACTTTCGAAGACTTAAAGAAAAAAAAATCACTTTTGCTCAATGATGACTTTCTAAGGCACAGAAGCTCATTAGCTTTGTTAAACCTACACTGTAAGTTGTGCCCTAGCATTTAACAGCCCATTTTACATTCATCCTAACCCAAGATTTCAAGAATTACTTGGTATTAACATGGACCTGAAGGTGGCTTTACTGCAAGTAGATACACACAAGCCACTTATACGCAAGGCAAGGGTGTGAAGAACCGAGAGGCAGCAATTTTGCAAGTTGCCTGGAGGCTTACAGCTTCTGTCATTTCTGACTGCTTGGTTCCCTCTAGTGGGGATTTAGGATAAACCTGGGCCCCACAGAAATGAAGCAGCCACTCGGTGGGTACCTACCGAAAGTTTCTCCACATCTCCTTTCAGAACTCGTTCCAGGTAGAGCTGTTTCAGTTCCCGCTCCAATCGTGAAGGCAGCCCAGGGTACATGGTGGACCCTCCAGACAGCACGATGTGCTTGTAGAATTCAGACCTGACCAAGAAAATAGTCTTTCTAGCGTCATATTGTATATTCTGCAGTACAAGTAGGTACCTGTACGTACAGGACAGTAAATACAAATCTAAAAAATGGCCACTACATGAAAACAGCTTTTGCGTGAGTTGGGCAGACTTGCTCATGCTTTTCCAGGCATCCCAGAAAGCAGAATTAAAAAAAAAAAAATAAAAATTGCACTTTCAAGTTTTTATCCTTTCTTGGTCATACCAAAATAGTCAAGTTTCCAGACAAGCTGCTAACCTCCAAGATCTCAGACTGCACCCCACTCCCGGTATACACCCACCCCCAGCAGTGCACATATTAGCGTCTAGAGAAAAAGATGTTACTTCATTTGAATGCAATTCTCACATCACCCTGCACTCTGACAGAGGATTTTAAGTCTTCTGCTCTTACCTCGTATCAATGTCAGCAGCCTGGATGGTGTTAAACAGCAATTCAGCCACACCAACCCCCTCTACATTGATTAAGTGAGGCTGGAAGAGAGCCTCCGGCGCCTCAAACCGTTCTCCACCAACTTTGATAATCCTGCCATCTGGGAGCTAGTGAAGAAAAAATACCATTTAGAAGACTACTTTTAGCCACTTACAAACTAAACGAACCAAGAGGAAATAACCTACATAGTTTCCTAATGTTTTAAAACAGGAAATCGTTGATAATTGTCACCACTGCAAAAAATCATTCAGTACTACTGAAAGAAGCCAGAAGAGTTCTTCAGTCATTACGCACTTGGAGACATCAGGGACCAGATACATCGATAACGATGTACCAAAAATTTCCTTGCAATACAGCTCCTAATATCTATCTAAAAGATGACCTTAAGAGCATGAATAATGATTTCCCACAAGTTCTTTTCTTCCATGTGTGATCACAGGAAGTTTCCACTAAGAGCAAGTTTACCACTCTTGTCACCAGATAGCAGTCTCCTATGTGTCACTGCTAGATGGATGAAGCCGAAACAACCTGATGTGCTAGAGTAAGTCTACTTTCTAAGTTCCTGTAAATTAATATTCAAATTTCAAGGATCTACAATGACAAAAATGAGTACAAAGTCTTACAGAAAATCTGAAAAAAGCTGCTACTGCCTAGAAAAACGTAAAAGGAATCAACGCTAAATATTACCTGAATTTAAACTTACGAAGTTTAGGACAAGAAAAGCTGTCTCAAAGCACTCACCGTGTAGGATTCAACTAGTACTGTGGTCTCTAATGCCAGTTTCTGCTCCTGTTCAATGTTGTATCCCACATAACATAGCTTTTCCTTGATCATGCGAACAGTCTCAAAATCAGCAGAATGGTTGAAAGCATACCCTCGCAGTAAGAGGAGCTAGAGGGAACATACTAGGTTAGCGGTAAGGGAGAGGAACAGGCCAGATCTCGTTATTAGTAGATGTGTACATTCAGACATGTATCTTTAAAGGTTTGTCTCCCTTTTTTAACTGCAGATTTTGTATTACATCAAATCTGTCACAGTGTATCAATTATTACTACAAAAGCAGTATAGCAGCAGCATTACTACCTAGCAGGAAATGTTCTTCGTCACTACAATTTTCAGTATAACTGTTACAAAGACAAGTGAAAGATAACCAAAATAATTTGTATATTTAGGACTTCAAGACACTCTACTATTCCAGTTTAACCATAAGATTTGTCAGTCCAGAATGTTGCTTATTTAAAAAAAAATAAAACAAAAAACCACAAAACTGTCTATAAAACATACTGTCTTATTTAATAAGCAGGTAAGAATCACTACAGTATTTTCCACAGTGTAAGAAAAGGTCTTTCTGAAAATAGGTGAATACAACTGATAGAATACAATTTTGTCTTCATTTTATGTATCAAGAAATCAAAGTTTTTCCTTCCCAAATATGGAACAGAATCCCTTCCTACAAGACTGCCACTAAGAAAGCATGAAGTCTCTGAATAACATCAACAATATCACATATAATTTAGATGAGGAAACATAATAAGGATAGGCTGGAGCAATACAGAGTACAGGAGTTCTTTATGTCATTAGCATATGAATAATAAAGGAAAAATGTACAGTGGTTTCTTGCTATCATGGGACTTTAACTTGAACCAATGTACCACAGATACCAGCCTCAACCTTAAAAATTCTTTCCAGCTTACCTTAATGAGGTACCTAGTGATATCCCTCCCAGCAATATCCAACCGTCTGGTGAGATGAGGGAGAGAGAAACCTTCATAAACTGGACAAATATGAGTTACACCATCTCCAGAGTCCACAACAACACCAGTCAACAAACCTAAAAGAATAAGGAGAAGAAAAACAAGGTACAACTTTTATTAGCACCTTCATAAATAGAGCACAACAGTAGCAAGTTTAAGATAGTTCTTTTCATTGTAATCTTAATACAACCTCTGCTCCTCAGTCATCATTTTGGGAAAAGTAGTCACAATTTAAAATTCAGTTATTTCCATTCAGCTGGATTTTAAACTTAGAGTTTTCATAGTAACAAATGCTTTCATATACATTTTTTAAAAGTATTACCTTTACTTTTTTCCTAGATGCTTATAATAACTATACCATTCACAATTTTATCTGGTGTTTTAACATCTGAAATTGCACTCTAATTAAGGAGAATATCCAAGATCATTAAATGCTTGTTGAGGCACAAATTCCTCCTCAGATTCAGCTGTATATGTGCAATTTTATATTAATTTCTTAAATATTAAGAAACCTAGAGATATTCAGGCCACAAGTTTGCCTTGTGGTAATTATTAGGACTTGTTAATTTTAGCTGGTATTCAAAAAACCAAAACAATACTTTCATAAAGTAGGCAACACTTGGACTACAGAGCACACATCATTCCCCCCCCCCACAAAAATAGTGAATAGGCTGAATCAGATCGACTTTCATAGACTCAAGAAATTAACTGCAGTGAAAAAAGTTTACCATAAAACCATTAAATTCTAAGGTGTACAAAACTGAGATATCATAAGTATGTAGAAACATAAGTTTCTATACTTCACTAACAACATAAATAAGAAACAATTACTGTGGAAAGTTGATTAGAAAACAATTCTATAGTTTCTCACAAGCTACCTAAAGCAAAAAAAATATATTTTACAGGGAGACCTTAAAATAGTGAAGGAACATTTAATATGTAAGGGCAAGGTGCAGTGATTTGGCTACTGTAATTTGCTCAAGCTTTGTAAACAGAAGGCAAGCAAACTGGTTATTTGCCTCAAATGAACCAAAGAACACCCCTTGGTTTAGCTGTGTGATCAAATCTTCAGACTTACGAATGAACTGGAGTAACCGCTATGCAAACACAAGCCTTGCAATCGGACACATGCAGTAAGGAGGTATAAAATAGTCACAGGGGACTACACCGAACCCCAAAGACTGTTGTGAGGAATTGCCAAATAATTTCCTAATTAGAACTAGGTTTTGATATATGAACCACTTTGCCTTTAAAAGGCACAGGAATATGCAAAGTCCCAGGAAAAACAACAATTAGTCTAAAGAGAGTTTTAACAACAGCAACAAACTGTGGAATGCTAAAATGAGGTATATCTGTGTAATTTTAGCCACCACTTTAATCTTTAATGTACTATAAATTAGTAGGATATTTTAAAGGGCTTTTTTATTTTCAAAACCAAATGTTCTATTTATGCACCACTTGGGTTTTGTATCTTAGAAGATCTTCAACTTTCTTTTACACGATAGTATATAGAAATGCTTTGGCCTGCTCTACATTGTTTTACATCTTGTTATTCACAAAGTAATTGAGCATGATACGGTAAAATGCATGTACAAGTACAGCAGAATTTAAGACTATATATACATTGGCCAATTAAATACTTAAAAGGAACCAAACCAAAGTAAAACCGAGCGGGGGCAAGGTGGGGAAGAAAAGAGTAATAGCACAGATTGCAGCAAATAAACTTAACACCCAGGTCTGTAGAAGTGGTTTTGGTTCAGCTACTTTTAGCTATCTCCATAACAGAAACAATCTTCCGGTACCCCTCATTTTTGCTCTTGGACATTGAAACTACAGTCACATGTTAACAGACAGGAATATTTATTTCCTGCCATGTGACAATATACCAAGCCACTAGTAAACAGATGTAAGGAGTCATGTTATTAGAACTCCTGTGCTTAAGTAACTTCTTAAAATCCTAGATGGACTGCAGACAGTGGTAGAATTTCTGTTGAATTCAGTGAATGTAAAGTTTTCTCCTCACACTGAGGATCACTTATTCTTGTTTATTTACTGCAAAAGAAACATTTTTTGAACAGAAAATAGTGCAAAGTCACCAAGTTACCTGCTTGAAATTCACTTACAGTAATAAATTTTTCCTCTATCAGAAAAATCAAGCATGTCATTAAGACTGGGAAACATGCCAAAGGCTAAATGACTACACTCTGAAACAATGACAGTTTTGATAAAAGGTTTTTGCATTTACAAGCATGTTTCCACAGTCTGTTCATAAATAACACTAACAGTGCTATACATCAATAGCTCCTCAAAACAAAAAGGCATCCCCATAAGACAGAGCTGAGCTTGCTTACAGCAGTGTTGAATTAAGCCCAAGACCCATTAATACCATATCAGAACTTTGGCTCAGCAACACATTTAGAAACTAAGCAGATTTTGAGATATCTTTGCCTACCTTGAGCATACAAAGTAAGAACAGCCTGAATGGCTACATATACCCCGGAAAACTGGTATGTCTCAAACATAACCTGTAAGATGAAGGAAAAAATTAACATCCAAAACAGGACAAATATGTACAGGAAATTTCATATACGTTTGAAAACTGTACTTCTATAATTCTGTATTTTTACTAATCAAAAACACTTTCCAAGACACTTCATCACACAGATTCCTCACAAACATTAGAAACCTACTTGCTTTATGGCAGTAAGTAGTACATTCAGTTCTATACCTTACCTGTTCATGCAAGATGAGCCATACGAAATATTCCACATCTGTTTAGCAACAAAAGTGAATACTTTCAAGAAACCCACACACCAATTTCTGCAGCTTTACTAAGCATTTTTCAAAGTGCTTAATGAGCAGGAGGCAGTACTTGTAGACCAGCCAAGTACTTCATTATTGAAATGTGACTTGGGAATTAAATGTTTGTTAAAGGTGTGTGCTCTAAATCTAATGAAGTTCAGGGTTGTTTTTTTTCTTCTTCATATCAAGCCCTACAGACTTTGTACAACCACAGACTATGCCAAGGCCAAACAGACTCTTATGCACATGGGACACAGCCCAGTGTCACAAGTTGTTCTCTGCATCTAGGCTGCCTTCTTTCCTTCTTTAAAGCACAACTGATGACAAACTTCTAAAATTAGTTCAAAATCCACCACAATTGAAATAGTACAGGTAGGGATACTTGGTTGCTACATACAGAAAACCCACAAGTTTGCAGAACTCTTTTTGAAACATGAAAATTAACTGCTCATCTTGTAGACTAGGTTTGCCTAACCACTAAACTAGTTTCCATGAAGAAATAGTCTAAGACTAAAGGATGTAGAGTTTATAGGATCTTGTCTTCTTTATACACACAAAAAAGGCCAAGTAAACAAATCATACTGTACAGCAGTCTTCTCCTCAAAATGCTGCACCAGGAAAAAAGGATGAACTCTGATTATTCCAGCACATACAGAAGTTTTGCTTTTGCTATTCTGCAACCTCCTGAGCTCTTCTGCAACTTCTAGGATTAGAAAGTGATTAAGTCCTAAGTACACCAATAGCTCAAGTAAAAGACATCTAAATATTTTTAAAGAAAAAAAAAGAGCTTATGCCCGACAATTTTAGAATTCTGAACTATTTAAAGAACCTCTTCTGTTAGAATAGTGCGATTTTAAACAGCTGGCCCATATAAAAATCCTGATCCTTGCAAAGTCAAGTTAATTATTTCATGAGCTGTATCAAGCACACTGCAAAACCCCTGGGAAGACGGATGCTGTCCTTCTCAGGATATTTGCTGTAAGCATGCAGGATAGCAGAAGTCAAGCAGAAAGGAATGCAGAGGGGGTGAGCTGCAGAGCACTTTGCCATGAGAACATCACAATTTGGGTTTTTATATATCCCCAATGTGAACTGGGTAATATTAAAAGGAAATTTAATACCTAGGTCACGTACGAGGGCTAAGCGTGAGCAGAACATTACAAGGCTGGCAGTGACTTCTGTAATGGCCACAATTTAGCACATACACAATGCCCTCAGAAACAAGAAGCGAAGTGTCGGGCAGAAAAGGAACAGTTGAAAGGACAGCAACTCTATTTGAGTAGTCATTGTTTAAAACCAGCACTATTCCAACAAAGGAGTCTTCCAAACAACCTGAGTGCTTCCAAAATTAAAAACCTAATTTAAGAAAAATCTATATTATCATCTTCATACAACAAAATGAATATTCAAATGGCACTAGTTAATGCCTTCACATGTTGTATTAAATCCTAAAAGCCACTGCAAAACTATTTTATATGCAGGCAAACAGCAAACACTCAGTTAAGCAGAGTAGCAACCAGTGTCTTGCACATACTATGAAAGAAATAGCACTTTTAAAATATATAATTTACAATATAGATGTCGTGTGAACACTTGCTGCTGTTACTATGTAGCTGAGTTTGATAGAGTGATGAGGTGAGGAGAGTTACTGGAAGCAGAATGAAAGTACAGTGTACATAATTATCTATTATCTTGATACTGTCCAGATGACTAAACTTTTCTTTTCAAATGCTACTGCACTGTGTCACAAAATGCAGAAACATTATTATATTTACTGCACACTTTAAGAAAATTCTTAATTCAGTCCTCTACTTCATACCAGGCTAGACTCCCTGAAAAGGAGTCCATGTCAAAAAAAAAGGAAGGAGTATAAATAAGTTGCAGTTAAAAAACTAAATATTGCTAGTTCTCCTAAAACTGTAATCCATTAAAAATATTAATAGAAACAATGAGCTTCTGTTTAACACAAATTTAAATTTACAAAAACTGATTCTAGTTCTCACTAATCCTCTGGATCGTGATTAAGCATCTACAGTCTCTGGAGAGGTTTACAAAAGGAGATGGAGCAATACAAATATTTTATCAGAGTTCAGAAACCATACAAGACTGTTCAAGTTATGAGTAATTTTGTATCAGTCCCAGAATAACTAAAATCCAGCCTTTTGTGTTTAGCAGGAAAACAGAAACAAGAACACTATTGTAGACAGCTGAAAAGCAAAGAAGCCTGAGCTGGAAATTCAACCATTCCT